AATAAGAGCCACCGCTCCGATATACTCCTCTTGACCGTTCGTTGCTGCAGCTAACACATGCCCTACAATGCTCAAATAGGGTGTATCCTGGTCCTTGAGCATCTCAGTCCCCACTGACAACCTACTCATACTATATCCTTACCTCGCGGCAGACATACTGCCTAGATACTCTGATGAAAGATCGTAACCAAAACTACCCCATAGGGCTCACCCCCAACCTCGGAAACCGAAAATCTCAATATCTCTCCTGTTTCCCACTGGAACAGAAATAGCAGCACTCAGGTCACAGAAAATGACATCTCCACTATCGTTCGGTCGCTCAGCCCAGTCCTTATTCTCCAATAACGCACCATCCCTACTCATCCCTGAGTCATGAGAATCCAACTGGCATCTCACCAAAAATCCCACGGAGCTAACTCGATTCCCCTTTCAAGGGATGCTCCACTAAAACTCGTTCATCATGGCCCTCTGGCCCCATACTCTTTCACATCTGATCTCAGTCTAGACAATCACCACAGAATAACTGGTAAACCAGAAGCACTAACCGCCACGAGTCAGGGTACTCGAACCATGTGGCCACCTCTTGATCTGATATGAATCATGGTACCCGAACCACGTTGTCTCTTCTCAATCCGTTACGAATCATGGTACTCGAACCATGTTCTCCCTTCTCAATCAGCTACGAATCATGATAGTCGAACCATGAAATCACCTCTTGTTCTGCTACAAATCATGGTACTCGAACCATGAAATCACCTCTCGTTCTGCTACAAATCATGGTACTCGAACCATGAAATCACCTCTCGATCTGCTACAAATCATGGTACTCGAACCATGAAATCACCTCTCGTTCTGCTACAAATCATGGTACTCGAACCATGAAATCACCTCTCGTTTTGCTACAAATCATGGTACTCGAACCATGAAATCACCTCTCGATCTGCTAGAAATCATGGTACTCAAACCATGAAATCACCTCTCGATCTGCTACAAATCATGGTACTCGAACCATGAAATCACCTCTCGATTTGCTACAAATCATGGTACTCGAACCATGAAATCACCTCTCGTTCTGCTACAAATCATGGTACTCGAACCATGAAATCACCTCTCGATCTGCTACTTAGATCCTCCGGAATGTTCCCTGTATCGAGTATGGGTCCTCTGCTTTCAGTAGTACGAGCCCATACTACCTACCACATCTACCCATACTTTCTGCACGGACCATCCCCAAGTTCCTAAGTAGCTGCTCAACCTTCTCGATCACCAATCCTGTCACGTGTGTTCGCTCCTCTGCGAAATGCTCTACTCTTGTCAGCGTACTCATCTGACTAGGGTCACCCTTTCCTAGGCTCTTCCTCGGTTCTCACACTTCTCCGCCATCAGCTGCTGAAGAACTCCTTATGATGCCAGCCATCTACCTCCTGAATATCGTCATATTCACTTAGTAGGTGACTCCCATCATCAAGAGTTCCACAAAGCACGAAGCAAGCAGCATTCAGGCATCGAATAATTTTTACCAACATGTAAAACCACTCTAGGTTATTACCCACTTACTCTCCTCATACTCAAAGGATATCACCGAACTTAAGCAACTTTACCCCACGCGGGCATCTGACTACTCTCTCAGTAGACTCCTCAAATGCTCATCTAGGTATCTCTCTTAGATTACTCCTCTACTCAGATCCCTCTCTAAAAGGATTCCAGCTGGATACTCATACTCAGTACATACTCGAAGGCACATCACATATAACAACAACTCCTAGGCTAAGGCATCACAAATCAGTCCACTCTAGTCCTAAAATATGAATACCTAGCCTATCTCTAGCATGCATATCATATCACATAATATCTCATAACACATAATGTAAGGGTATTTTGGGAAATCACCGTTCGGGCGCTGGCTGATCGTACACACTACTCCGTTCTGATTTTCTCAAAAATCTTTTACTCTTTTTAGAAAAATTGTTTCTTTTATGAAAATTCCCTCAAATCCTCAGTTTGAGTTCAGATACGCCCGAAGGTGCATCCGAATCCCTCAAACCAAGGCTCTGATACCAACTTGTAACGACGTAAATTTTAAAACAATTTTTCATTTGTCAAACATAATAAATCTCATATAATATTCTCAAAATCTCATGTATCAATGTCATCACAATAAAACATATCCTAGAATCTCAATACAGAATCTTCTGCCAGTGTGTACAAATCATGCCGGCGCCTTCCTGCGACCCACGCTGATACCTGAAACACATATCACATAACACGGTAAGCATAAATGCTTAGTGAGTTCCCCAAAACACCACATACAACACATACGCCACTCGAGGCTACAGTACGACCCTCTGGTCGATGTGTCTCAACGGGACCCTCCAGTCCCGTAGCTCGTTGGACCCTCTGGTCCGATCATAGCTCGTTGGACCCTTCGGTCCGGTCTGTATCGTTGGACCCTTCGGTCCGGTCTATATCGTTGGACCCTTCGGTCCGGTCCATATCGTTGGGCCCTCCGGCCCGGTCTGTTCAACACATAGCATACATATAACACAACGCACATATTCTCATATATACACATAGCATACAAGACCCTCCGGTCTACACATAAATACCACTCTAGGTAGTGTATAGTGAGAAGACTCACCTCGGCTATCTCACATAAACAATTATCTCAAATCAATAACGGCTCTCCAGGCTAGACTAGTCTCTTCCATGTCCTCTAAGAAGGCTAAAAGACCATTTTACCCTTCAAATGCTCCACAAGCGCAAATGTTGACCAAACCCTAAAAGTCAACAAAAGTCAACGGTCAACTTTGACCAGACTCGTCGAGTGCACTCGTGTGACTCGGCGAGTCCATGCATGTCCTCTTCGCCCCTGGTCCTCACTCGACTCGCTGAGTCAGCCTTACGCTCATCACAGGTCGCGAATCGCTGGGCAACCCGACTCGACTCGTCAAGTCCCTTATGGACTCAGCGAGTTCCTCCCATGAAAACATTCAAACGATCTTTTGAGGTCAGATCTGCTTCACCAACGAGTAGATCTGACCTTCTAACACTCGAAAGTCACGTAAAGGTTCAAACTTTACGTTCATGCAATGCCTATAAGACCAAAAACGGAGAAATAACCTTTAAAATGGGGTTCTACTCTCAAGGCTCACAAGAAACCTCATAAAGCTGGAAACCTAGGACCTTTTGGACCTCTCAAGGTCCAGATCTATCATCTATACCCAAAGGGACCTCATATGCTTCACAATCTAACTCACATTTGTGCAAAGGAAACCCTAGATTCAAGGAATCTATCAAATACATGAAATGGGAAGGAACTTGTACCTCAAAACGTGAATCTCAGTGTGAACAACACAGATCCAAGCTCCACAATCGATCTAGCTTGGATTTTCCCACTATTTCTTGCAAGATCACACCAAGGATGAAGAATTAGCCTCCAAATTGCTCTCTAAGCTCTCTTTGCTCTCTAGGGTTTTCACAGGGGAGTAGTGGCCGCAAATGACGGCCATAAGGGCCTTTAAATAGGGCTCAGGCCCTGAGATTTAGGGTTTCACTTTACAGCGCGGACTCGCCGAGTCCACTCATCGACTCGTTGAGTCCAGTCATTAATCCAGACAAGAACTCGCGATCCTACTCGACGAGTCTGAGCGTCTACTCGCCGAGTCCCTCCATAAAACTCAAGATCAATAATTACAATAAGATACCTGGGAATCCGGATGTTACAACAGAGGATTATATGACCAATTATCTTAAATGGCGTATCATCATCTTCTCAGTTCCGAGATACCTTGAAAAGAGCTACGATTGCTGATCAGTTCCTGAAGTCATACTTGCAGCTATAGTTATTAGACTTATCTAAGTGGCATACTGTTGGATAAGGTGTCTAAGTCCATAACTATTTCTGGTATGTACTTGACCCGACCCGGCATGGTCCATTTAGGTTGCATGGCATCATGCAATTGGATAGACTAAATGAGAGAAATAACACTTGTGGTTTATTAATATATTATACGTTCTAATATATTAATAGTATTATTTATTTAGTATTGATCAAGAATTAATCTAGAATTAATTAAGTGATCAAAAGAAGACTAATTAGTTATATGGGTTGATTATGTAAATCATCCATAAGTTGTATAGTGGGCTAAAGGCTCCATGGATTATCAAGATGGTCTAAGGTCCATAGGATGCTCCATGCATGCTCCATGGGAGTTACAAACCCATGGGTCATGGAAATAAAGAGCCATGTTATATTAGGGTTTACTTGGTGTAACCCTAAATGTAGCACACTATATAAAGACCATGTTATCTACCAAAATCGGCTACACTAGTGAGACAAGAGGGCAAGACCGATTTCAAGTGTTAGCAAATTCTCTCAAAGTTTATTCCAAGAGCATTTGGTGTTGTGTGAAACATTTGAGGCATCACACTTGGGGTGCTAGGCTCTCAAGGTTTTCAAGGAATCAAAACAACAACAAGGTATGTAATTCTAGCTATCTTTTACGTTTTAAGTTCCCATGTATGTTAGATAGGTTTATGAACCTTGGAAAAAGTATTTTGCATGTATTTTAGACAAACATAGATCCAAGGTTTTCTAGGGTTGCATGTACACTTAGGAGTGTTAGAATGCTCAAAACCCATCAGGCACCCCCATCACCATTGTCTTCTGTCGATTTGTAGGGGTTTTCGCGATTGTGTTGAGTGTTCAAAATCGATTTCTAGGGTTTTCCTCATTGTGATAAGGATGGTGGGGCGTAAAACCTACTGATTCTACCCGTCGTCGCCGTTTTTCCATGGTTGGTGGTTTGGCGCTATGAGCAACTTTTCAAGATTTGGAACTAAATCGAACCAACAGGGGTTGTCGCTGCCCCTCTTCTTTACAAAAGGTAACATCCTAATTACTCTTTACTCTACTGAGTTTGATCAGTCATATTCACCCAACGTTGTTTCTTGCCTTCGGTCCACTCAATTGTAGGATACAGAGTTGATTTATGACAAAAATGAAGTCAACCCAGGTGACAATTCCAAGTTTTGTGAAACAGGTCAGATAAGTTACACCATTTACAACCTGGGATCAATTTCAGATTCGTTTTACTACTCTGTGTTGACCTTTGATTTCTCTAACTTGATTAGGGCTCAATACAATATTAGATGATGGTCAAAGAAACCTTACTGAAGATTAGGCCGTGCTTTAATTTGTGGTTCGATTCACTCTAAAGTTGTACATGATGTGTTTGTATAAATCGATTTCTCATAATCTCAGCCATGATTTCTGAATGATACCGTTCATCGCCGATCATCATTCGACATTCATATCTTCAAAAACAAGAAGGTATAAAGAAAGATTTTGTAACAAGAAGGTATCATAATCACTCTGTAATTATTGATACATTAGCTCTGGTATGTTGCCAACCATGATTAAGTTCAATTTTCAATTTGATATGATTAGTTTTCGTTATTGGTTGTAATACTAAGATCAAATATAGATTCGAACACAAAAGATGTTTAGGATTTCTCTTTGAATGTGCGTTGTTGGTAGATAAACCACTGTGAATAGTGTGGAACACTTAACCACGATCAGATTCAAAATAGGCTGAAGTGATAACATCTGCTATCACTGAGGTTCTTAACGACAGTTTGGAAAATGTTGCTGATACGTTTGCATCAAAAGCTGATATGCAGAAAGTAAGAAATCTCATCTTTTGCAACATCTTATCTTCTTCCATATTTAGATTAGGAACAATACATCTTACTCTACTGTGAGAACTACAGGTTAATATTTTGAAGGGATAAATGCAATAAACAAGAAAAGTGAAATTAAGTTGCTATTTCTTGCATTTAGCCTATTCTCAAAAGTATTTATTTTGGATTTTTTTTGTATGTAGACAGTGATTCTTCAGGAAGCACATCTTCGGAAGTTTAAATCTGAAGTACAGAGTTCACAGGTACTTTCTTAAAAGTCACCAACTTCACAGGTACTAATAGTAATAGCCTTTTGTTTGTGCCCTATTCTTTTTCCCATTAAGTATGGTCTGGATAATAATATGTTTATTAATTATTAAATATTTGACAAACATGAGGGTGAATTTGTGACAAGTTAAGACTTCAAAGTGAAAGTCTCATTTCAATGACTATCTTTATTAATTTCTTCTTTAAGCATTAAGTAAAAAAAAACGAACACCCATGTCTCCATTAAGTAGATAAAAAAGAAAATTTTTCTTATAGTAGTTGAATACAAAGGTTGATCTACATTTTGATGTTATTTTGCCATTTAGATGATTAAGGAACCATTTATGAATAAGTCAATATTCAATTTTAGGTAATTAGTCCTTCTTTGTGTATAAACTTATACAAATTCTTTTTTTATGACAAAATATAGAAAGGTTAACTATTTTCTGCAGTGATTAATCCGGTATACTTTTTTTTTTTTTTTTACAATTTTTTCTAGGAAATATACAATGAAAAACATACTTTCACCATTTTATCTATTTACCTACTGCACTACTGTTTTATACAGATTTAGTCAGTCAATTCTTATTATAACAATCAATGACAAAATAATAGTTCAGTAGCTAAATCAATAAAATTATGTTTTTAAGTTAGTTAAATATTTTTAGATTCCAAAAATATTGTTAGTTTGAAATATATTAACATTATTTTTACTTTTTATCGAATTGTTGCAGGAGCATCACTTTTCAATGTTGCAACGTGAGACTGAAAAGCTAAGAACTGACATAGACAAAATGAAAAGTGAACTGAGGTTATTTTCGTAATTTTTCATTTTGATTGGTTTATATATTGCCCTTTAATTGAACAGAATAATAATAATAATAACATTACTATCACTCTACAGGTATGAGATTGACAAGTTCCCCGCAGGTCAACGTTTGGATTTAAATCTTGAAAGAGGGTAAAGTAAAACACTTTATTATTTTTATCAATTGTATTTATTAAAAGTAAAAACTCTCCCATTATTAAAACATTAGGTATCTCCTTTAAATATTTGTTCTTCATTTCAGCCTTTTATTCTGGCTTTATATTTGTGTTCCCTACTTTATTGTTCTATATTCATGATGAAAAGTTTTCCTTTTGGAGTTCCAATGTACCCTATCTGATGGAAATAAGACTTTATTGTTCTATATTCATGATGAAAAGTTTTCCTTTTGGAGTTCCAATGTACCCTATCTGATGGAAATAGGAGATCAGTGAAAAGGTTAAATATCACCCTCATTCATTATTATTGTTGTTTGGACTAAGTACAGCCTAATTTTATATTTTCTTTTTTACCTTTTTATTATTTTTATTTTTTTATTCACATAATTACTATTTATTGCAGATATATACACCACAATTCAACAATATGTATGCACAACATGTGGAAAAAGGTTTAATCTTTTTTCTTTTTTTTTTCATATCTTTAACGATGTTTCACCAGTTTTAATATTGCAATACCAAATTAGTAGCAGAAAGTGACCAACAGAGATAGGAGGTGATGATGATAATGCAAGAAGACGAAGGCATGAAAGATTGACATATTTGCTTAAAACATTTGAGGTACATTTCACTACGTAATTAATAAGTAAGAGTAGTGATGTAATAATAGGGTAGAAGTACCCATTGTCCATTATGCGACGATTTTATAGAAGCAACTATCTATGCACATTTCTATGTCTTAGTTCCATTTAATTAATGATAAATATCCAATATTATTAATTATATTGTGTTTTATATATTTTATCTATATTTATTAAGTATTAAGCATATGACTATAACAAAAAATATTTATTGAGTTATATTGAAGAATATATATTGAACTCTTATACATTTTTTTCATTTCTAATATGGAAAAATAAACTTTATTTGCTTTTACTACTCTACCAAACATTTAAACGTTAGTGATGAGATTGACCCATCATAAATTAGTTGTGATGTTTTGTTTTTGTTGTTTGTATGCATGCAGACACAATTGAAGAAAGGTTCAAGGAGGTTATGAATTCTAATGAGGCTATAAAATCTGAAAGAGGTCACAACCAACCTGTTTACCTTTCTTTTTCGCCATATAGAAATTGTCTTATTCTTATATATTGTAAATGATATTAGCAGAAAGATATGCTTAGACGAACCCAGGTGTGAAATCGGTGGATAGAGATTGGAAGGTGAGGAAACTAACTATACATACGCTGGAATTTCTAGGGCTTCCCACCGGAGTTTGGCCTACCGGAGGTGGATTTGACCGGGCCGGAGAGGGGATTGTGATCGGATTTTCCATACCATCCGACCTTTGAAAATCATAATACAAAACCCTATGGTCGTTACTATTTCTTTCATTTAGCCCAAATCTTTAACATTATCATTGAATGATGGATGAATAGGATCGTTGCTTTCATGAAATTTGTGTCAACATGCCGTTAGAGTTTGCTTTCCACTTTGCAGAATCTGTTTTCGTACTTTTTTTCTTATATTTAAGAACAAATGTTTTTTTTTGGCATATATCTTTCTTAAATATAGGCATCACAGTATGCTTGCAATTTGTTTCTTTGTTATTATATGATAGTTTGATTCAGCTGTTGAATATGTTTAACAATTTCAGGTATTGTCATCAACAAATGTAAAGTACAAATCTTGCAAAATAGGTATGGTATTATAGTTTCTTGGATTTATTTCTGGTCAGTTTGTGTTGTAGGCGGATGATTATGTTGAATATTGTTAATAGGAAATTTTACAATATGTTGACTATTTAGCCCCTGCTTGCTGTTTTCATGTGTGGTGCTGTTTTGGTGCTTCGTGTTTAAGGATTTCATCTCTTTTCAGCCACCTTCATTTATTTTGGTTGTCTATACTCCCAAGGTTGCTGGTGCAATAAATGTCAATATACTTTCATTTATTTGTTTACTTTTATTTTTCTATTTTGTTGGATTTAGATAAAAAAGATTAGGTGATGCAGATGCAAAGCCTAACAGTTAATAACATTTACAAAGAATAAACAACGGAAAAAATTGTCGCATCCAACCCCCGCAATGCGGGGTTTCCCACCTAGTATATATTAAAGATGACCACTTCAATGAATAGTGAAGTTGTGTGCTTTTTGGCAAGAATAGTACATGGATGTGTTGTTTCCGTTTGTTTTTTGTGCCTGGGCATTTTATGGAAATATTCACATTCTTTTATACACGTGTTGATGATCGTTTGGTTTTATCCGCTTCCGGATCTTTCCCACCGCGTCCTTATCCAATATCTTCCGATTTCAGCTCCATCCCCTATCCCCTTTGATTTGTTCGAAATTTCAGATGAGCATCAGATTTTCTTCCATGTTTTCTACCTTTGCTCTTGCCGACGGCTGTTTCGACTTCAATTTCATCATCGGCCAACACAAAAAAATCAATGTTCACGTTGGTTGTTCGATTGCTCTCTGAAATGTGAGACAAATGATTTTGGGTTCAACAAGCATTTCATCAGGTCCCGCTACCTCTTCTTTTGTCTTTGGTTTTCACATTTTAGAATTTTGGACTCAATAAGCATTTAATCAGTTAACACCGACCACCCTCTTCGACGTGTTCACAATGCTTCGTCTTCGTCTCCTCTCTCAACTGCCCGTTGTGAAGGCCTTCTGTGACAACCTGAATTTTTTTTGCTTTTAAAGCTCAGTCATTCAACTCAACAGAGTGTCAGACTCATTGGTAATGAGTTCTAGCCTGGTTAGTTTTTAGCCTAGTACACTTAAGGGATGAGTGTTAGAATGTACCTGCTAGAGACACTGTACAACGAATCAAGCCCTAACCTCTTCACTTAGAGTTCACGGCCACAACACTTGAGTTTATGGCCGTAAACTCAAGGTGGGCCATAAACTCCACCTTATAACCTCATATTCTTTAACTTTCTTTCATTATTTCACTTCCAACTCAAGAACACTTCCAAATCCTCTTAAGTATCATCGAGTTCATCATCTTAGATCATCAAAAACGTAAGTGTTCTTTCCTTGATTTGTTGTTACACTTCATCTCCTAGTTACACTCTTTGATTTTCATCCATGAAAACATTCATTTTCATCTACATCTTCAAATGTTCAAGTTTCACCAAGAACACCAAGAACACACACTAGTGTTTTTGGCCAAAATCGACCATTTCAAGCTTCTATATCGTAAGTACTCTTCCCTATACTTGATATCTAGTTAAGGTTCGTGCTTAGGACCTTGAAAACATCAATAATGAAGGACCAAAAGGAGTTTATGGCCAAGCCATCTCCCATGGCCGTAAACCCCTATAAGTGTGTCATTTGAGCCTTAAACTCTTCCTAAGGCTTGGACTTGAGGCTAGAACACTCCCAGGTGCTTTCTAATACATTGAACCATCACTAATCTCACCATTTAGAGAGTTTACGGCCCAAGAGTAAACACCCTTGGCCGTAAACTCCTCAACACTCTCCATTGAGTTGGTCTTTCTCACCATTGTGTAGAGTAAAATTCCCTCAAGCTTCCCTAGCCTTCAAACACCATCATATGCAACTTTGACCATGAGTTTACGGCCGTAAACTCCCTTGGCCGTAAACCCATGGCCGTAAACACCAAGCCATGGCCATAAACACCCTTTAGGTCAATCACATGTGATTCCAACACTTGGTCAAAGTGTTTCCTAGTCCCGTGAGGTGTTTCCTTGCATTTGGTTGCTTCCAAGCACTAGATTTTCTCAGTATATGCCAATATATGTCATTTAGGACTTGTTGTGTCTCGGGACTTCATTCATGGAACTTCTCATCCTTAATTGTTGAGAGAAAAACTTAGAGACACACTTGAACAAATGTTAGAACAAGTATATTGCGGAATAGTTAATCTCGAAGGATCTAAAAGCTCAACAATAATATTAATAAGTTAGAGTTAGATAGTTAGAGAGTTAGTTGCGGAAAAGTAAAGAAATAGAAATGACAACAATTGTTATATCAAGTATACACATAAGTTGATTCATAACAAGGAATGCATTCAAACCAAGATAATAAGGAAGATCAAACTTAGTGATTAAGTCACAAATGACTTGCTTTGAAGAGAGGTTATAATCACTTGTATAATAGTAAGATTTGAGAGTAAGAAGGGATGAGTAATTAGATAGAGAGATAGAAAAGATAACTTCAGAGATGTGTATTCAGAATAGATAGATGCGTGTTTTTGAAAACAAGAGAATGAGCTCTATTTATAGAGACTCACGAAGTACACTAGATTACATCTCTAAGAGTAGCCATGCAAGGCACACAGGAAAATAGAGAGTATTACAATAAAAGACAAGTAAAGTAATCGAGTAAAGAGATTGCGGTAGGTAGAGACTTCGGATGCGGTTGCTGATGAAGGAGCTTGACTGCGGGTGCTTGTCGGCTGCGGTAGCTGAAGTTCAAGAGGGTCACTTTTTATGATTCAACGATTTCCCCCTAAGTGACCTCTTTAAATTTTGTTCAGCTATCAAGTTTAAGAAACTTGATCAGGATCCACCAAAACTTCCTGATGTTTTCCAACTAGATGATTCTCCTTAAAATCTCGAACTTGACTTCTGCAGTAGTGTGCTTCGATTTTTCAACTGCGGTTCGGCAGATATCAAGTTGCTTCCTGGTGAGGCGATGCATGGCAGTCATAGGAATGAAGTATTTGACATTATCGATCTTCCTTTTGAAAATGACTCCAAGTTCAGGAAAATTGGTTGCACCTAAGGATCTTTCTTGATAGCCTTCGGTAGGCATTGGTGCAGGATCGAGTGGTGGTAGATCAAATTTCTTGGTAATGGTGGGGTAGATGTCTGCATCGATTTTAGCAAAATCACAGACCATTTCCTTCAAAAAAAGTATTAGCCCTTTCAAGCGCAATCTTCATCTTCGGATGCTTCTCCGACTTGTTCTGAAACACCTTAGCTATGAGAAAGACTTCTTCTCGATTCATGCAGGGGAAGTCAGCTTGGGTGCAGACACAGTCGTGTCCCCTTCTAGTGAGGGTGTACTGGATGAAGTCAGCCTTCGTGAACTTCCGAATCTTGTAGTTCTTGACTGCGGATGGTCTATCGTTAGACCATATTTTCTCAATGGGAGAGGCATGCTTAGCATAAAAAACACTAAGTCTCTCAAATTCCATTGGCAGTCTTTTGTGGTCTGGAAGGCTGAGGTCGAATTGCTCAAACACTGTGAAGTATTTGGTATTAGGGGAGATTGGAACATCCTAGTAGCCATCCGAAGGGGGTTCAGCATAGGTGAGGTGAGGTCTGTAGTCATCATCCAGCAGTCTGTGGTGAGGATTGATCCAAGAGTTTATCAAGGATTCGTCCATGACAGTATCAAAACCGCATTCTCTCCATATGAGCTCCGCAAGTTTAGCTGCCTTCCAATCCTTTTTTCTTTGGGTGGTGGCAGGAGAGTCATTTGAGCTTGGAGAGGACACGTGTTCCACCAGATTTTTGAAGTGAGGGGGAGTCTCTGGTTTCTTAGGAGTGATCTCCTCTTACGGTGGAGTGTTATGAGGTGGAGTATGATGAGATGGTGCGGTGTAGGAATTTTTTCTGTGATGATGGGGGGACTCTGATGCTGTGAGATGGAGTGATGTGAATGATGGACTTCTTCTTCACTTCCCCCTCTTGAGGAATGCAACCCAGGAGCTTCCTCAAGCCATTGTCGAAGGCCATCAACTTTGGCAAAAACGTCTTGAAATTGAGCTTTGAGGGCATCAGCCAACTGTTGATTATTGGGAATGGTGGAGTGAAGAGCAGCTTGTGAATATCCTTAGTGAGTTGAAGGATTTCAGGACCGGGGAAGTTGGAGGACAGGGATCGTTGCAGTCTATTGATTGTGGCTTGAAGAACTGAGATAGTGGACTCATACGCAGTGTGAGTCTCAGCTATCAGTTTTTTGAGACTGTGGCTTGATCCGCAATGGCTGCTTGGAGATCTTTCTTGATTGCGGTCACCTCAGAGATGAGGCGTTCCGCAGCAGCCATGAAGTCCTTGTGATCTTTCTTGATTGTTGTCAAGGGACCGGATTCCCATTTCAACTTTGAGAGAAATTCTCTCAGCAGCCAATCGCTCACGCGTTTCCAAGCGCTCTATCCGTTCGATCAATGACTGCGGGTCCGGGGTGTCTTCTGGTTGCGGTTGAGTTGGCTTGACCGCAGCTAGAATTTGATCAACTTTTGCTTGTAGGCTCAAAAACTCCTTTCTTGTGACATCATTCTTCTTCTTTTTCTTTTTCTCTTTGGGCTTAGAAGTAGAATGGTGAGAGCCACTGGATTCCTCTTCTTCATTGAACATCATAAGGTCATCATCA